GATGATTACAAAGAGTATCTTCAACTAAAGGCGACTAAACAGGCCCCTTCCTCCATCACTGTTGCTCATACTGGTAATTCTACGGTCTGTCTCTCTCATTCTACGTCTATTGGACCTTAGGTTTTGGACTCCGGTGCTTCTGATCACCTAACTGGTAATGTCTCCCTTTTTCGTAACCTATCATCACCTAAAACTCCACATCATATCACTCTTGCAGATGGGTCAAAAGTCCAAGCCACTGGTATTGGCCAAATATCACCTCTCCCATGAATACCATTAAAATTTGTTTTACTAGTTCCTGGATGTCCCTTTAATTTGATTTCTATAAGTAAGTTGACTCGGTCACTAAACTGTGTCATAACCTTCACTTTTGATTCTTTCTTGATACAGGACCGGAGTACGGGACAGACGATTGGAGACGGATCTGAATCACATGGTCTCTACTACCTTCAGTCTTCTACCTCTATCGTATGTGCATCTATTGAGTCTCCTGGTTTAATCTATCGTTGCCTAGGTCATCCAAGCTTGAATAAATTAAAGAAAATGGTACCTCATCTCTCACGGTTAGAGTTTTTAGAGTGAGTCGTGTCAATTAGGAAAGCATGTTAGAGCTTCTTTTTCTAATAATATTAATAGTCGAGCTATGTCTCCTTTTGATGTTATTCATTCTGATGTTTGGGGTCCTAGTCGTGTTCCTTCTCTTTTGGGGCATAGGTGTTACGTCACTTTTATTGATTTTTCTAGATGTACTTGGATATTTTTAATGAAAAATCGTTCCGAGTTATTCAATATTTTTCTAAGTTTCTATTTGGAGATCAAAACTCAATTTGGCAAAGTAATTCGGATTTTACGAAGCGATAATGCTAAAGAATATTTTCAGATTGCTTCAAATCATTTATGGCTTCTCATGGCATTTTACATCAATCTAGTTGCCCTCATACACCTCAACAAAATGGTGTAGCTGAGCGAAAACATAGACATATTGTGGACACTGCTCGTAGTCTTTTATTGAATGCCAATGCATCTCCAAAGTTGTGGGGCGATGCTGTCCTCACTGCAGGGTATCTAATAAATCGAATGCCATTGTCTGTCTTGAATGATCAAGTACCTCATTCCCTACTATACCCATTGGATCTCCTTTACTTTGTTCATCCTCGTGTCTTTGGCTGTACTTGTTTTGTCCATGATCTTTTCTCAGGATGTCTAAGTTGTTTGCTCGGGCCATCAAATGTGTGTTCTTAGGATACTCTCGTGTCCAAAAGGGGTACCGTTGTTACTCTCCTGCTATGCATCGATTTTACACTAGTGCAGATGTCACTTTCTTTGAAGATACACCATATTTTATTGTCATAGATGTCTCTTCGGTTGACTCAGATCTCCTCTCTCAAGTATTGCCTATTCCTCATTTTGATCATAGTGTGCCTCCTACCACACCTGCTACTTTAGAGGCACCAGATCCTCCCACACTACCAGGGTCTGACCATCCTCTACACCGGTTTGGGATAACCTATGAGCGTCAATCACATACTGTTGTTCCTCCCAATGATTCTACAATTGAGCCATGTGATTCTACTCTTGCTTTAGTCTCCTCACCTACTCTGGCCCCACCTACCTCAGTTGACTTGTCCATTGCTCTTTGTAAAGGTAGACGTTCTACTTGTAATCCTCATCCTATTTATAACTTAATTTCATATCGTTTGTCTCCTACCTATTATGCTTTTGTCTCTGCTATTTCCTCTATTACCATTCCCAAGACAGTACAGGTGGCCTTAACCCATCCAGGATGGCGACAAGCAATGATTGATGAGATGACAGCTTTAGACTCCAACCACACTTGGGTACTTGTCCCACCTCTGCTTGAAAAATCT